ACCACTCATTGCCTGTAGCTGCCTCTTTTAACTAGAAGGATTCTACCCTTTCCTTCCCTTCTTCCCATCCCCTTGCCTTGTTGAAGAGGAGACTCTGCCAGTTCTCCTGTATGTAATATCCCCATTTTTGGATTTGCCTATTTCCTCATGGTATTTAAGTTATTACTCTATTTTCTTGTCATTGTAATCGGTTATTCTTTGGGATTTATTTTACAACATAGGTGGTTTATATCTTACATTATGTCTTTGCTGTTGCTAAATATGCTGAAGCTAATGAGAAAATGCCTTTTTGTGCTCTTTCTGCCTTGTTTTCAGTTCAGTGAAGGAAAATGGGGACAAATCGAACTCTGCAATTGTTTCACTCTTTGTTTGCTGCCTTACACATATAGGCACTTTGTAAATATTTGTGAAATGAATTCCTTTGTGGATTACAGGTAATGGATGGAAACTAAATATTGAATTTAGGATGAGCTCTCCTACTTCCTCCAGGAGTATACCTTGTATACACCTCCAAAATTATGGCCTTTATTTCATTGTATTGTAATTGTATCCCCATGAGCTATAAACTGCTGTGTATTCTCAGCTCACAGCACAGCTCCACTGTCCAATGACTGAAACTCTTTTATACTTGATCTTAGCCAAAAGGCCAAAAAGTAATGAAACTCTTTTACAAAAGTTATTAAACTGTTTCTCCTTTCATTTGTGTGTATTTTTCAGAGCTAAATTAGTCTGAAGAATACAGTAACATCTTGCCTAACAGGAAGTCTTTCCAAATTCAATGCAATAGGCTCCACCCGCACCCTTCTTCCACTCTTGCCTTTTCTTTTTCTTTTTTTTTAATTAGCATATTCATTGTTACAAATCATACTTATTCTTTATGCCCCTTATCCAATCTCTCCCCTTCCCCCTTTCCCCTCTCCTCTCTAATAACCATAGATTTGTTCTCTCCATCTGATAAATGAACTGTTCCTCTGTTGATTGGTTGCCTAGATGATCTGTCTAGTACTGAGACAGGTGTGATCAAGTCCTCCAATACTATTGTAAATCAGATGCTTCTATTCCTCTGGAATGTGCTTTGTGGCGAGAGAGGACCTCTTTTTTTTTCTGGTCTCCGTTGGTGCCTCTCCTTGTGTCAGTGCAGTTAAGAGTCTGGCATGCTATCTGCACAGTGGAACTCTTGCCTTTTCTACGTCCACTCTTACCTCCACCCTCATTTCCTCAGTTCATTCCCCATCCAGTAACAGAGCTTCTTAATACATAAATCCTGTCTGGTCACTTCCCTTCTTTAAAGCCTTCAGTGGTTTCCCATTGCAATTACAAAATCCGAACTTCTGTGCCCTGCCTGGTCTGGCTCCTGCTTGTCTTGCCAGGCTATTATGTTGCTCTTCTTTAAAGCCTTCAGTGGTTTCCCATTGCAATTACAAAATCCGAACTTCTGTGCCCTGCATGGTCTGGCTCCTGCTTGTCTTGCCAGGCTATTATGTTGCGACTCTTTTCTCACTTGGCTGTGGACAGTCCTGCTTCGTTTCGTTTTTTCACCACAGCCTGCCCTGCCTCAGGACCTTTGAATAGTCTCCAGCGCTCTTCCCTTCTCCTACCCCTCCTCTTTGTGTGACTTACTCTTTTTGCTTTTAAGGGCTCAACTTGAGTGTTACCTCACTTCCCACCACCCCATCCAAATAGGTCCTCCATTTCTTTGATAAGTCAGTGCCTGTTTTGTTTTCCTCAAAGTACTTATCACAACTACTAATTATTTTATTTGTCGCCTTACTTATTTTTGTTGCTGCTGCTGCTGCTATTTTTGATTTGTCTTCCTCATTAAAATATAAGCTCCAGTAAAATAGAAACTGGTCCTGTCTTTTTCACCATGGTAGCCCTATGCCTAAGAAAGTACCTGGTATGTTATACAAAGGTGATCAATGAACTCTTTCTTATTGACTAAAATGAGTGAGTAAATGGCAACCACATCTGTCTAGAACACAACCAGGAGCCAGGACATGAGGAGTAGTTAATATAAATGGCACCAAATTTATCCACCATATTAAAAAAAACACAAGAGTCTTAAACTGGTGTAGTAGTTTAGAAATGAAGATGAAAAGTGGTTGATTGGATCTGATCATGAAAATGAATATTTGTAGAGTTTTCTGCAATTCACCTGCAATAAGTTAGAAAGGTTTCAGTCAGAGGTTTTAAGACTGTGTCTGAAGGTGGACCAAAGTCACAATGTCCACCAAACTGAGAAGATATCTTGAGAGCAAAAACAAGGCAAGCAACTCCATAAATTATTATTCTAGAAGTTTATTGATTGGTGACTTTCGTACGGTAATATTGGGTGGGTGTCAATCCAGGTGCTGCACAGCTGCTTTCTCTGCAAAGCCTGGAGGGGAACCAGGAGTTTATAAGGGACTTGGAGACAAAGGTGGAACTATGCCAAAGGGAACAAATCTGTTGGCATAGGAGACTAAGATTTTCTTGCTTCACATGGCCTTATCTTATATAACCATAGTATTCCCTTCCTTGCTGTGCCTTAGTTGCTATGTAACCAGTGCAGGGAAAGATTGTAACTATTGAAGCCAGAGCTCTGAAGGCCACAGAGATGGAGTCAGGTCCGAACAATATCCCGACAAACTGTTACTAGAAAAATAGTGCTGCCTTTGACTAAAATACAGATTTAGCAACTGGAGCTGGCTTTTGAGGGTAGGTAGACTCAGTTCATTTTCTCTCTCTCTGTTTTTTATTTGCTTTGAAAATTTCTTTCTTTCATTATTTTTTAATGTTAAAATATTTCAGACATCTATAGATGTAAGAACAATATAATAAATGCCCATGTGCTACCACCCAGTCTTAAGTTTTCCAAAAAGTCTTATCATTGTTCTGTATTTGCTTCAGATATTGGAAAAAATAACCATTACAGATACATTTGGGGACCTTTGTGTCCCCCTTGCCCATTCCCTTCCTTTTCAACCTTCTCATCTGAGCAGGAACCATTCCCTTGTGACTTTAGGATTTCTCTGCATATTTTGTAGTTTTATTACATCTTTAAGTATCTATTATTGAAAAAGTTTCCTATATTTCATTTCACCTCCCCTCTGCTGATTTGGAAGCTGCACACTGCATTACTATTATTGTTTTATTTTTGTTGAATATTTTATTGAAGTACATCACATCTCTAGTAAAGTGTACAAATTTTATGTTTACATTTGGAGAATTTTTACAAAGTAAATACACTTATGTAAGTACCATAACCCAGATCAGTAAAGAACATTAACGTCATCCTGGTAGCCTCCTTTATGCCCTGTCCCACTCATTATCCCCCAGTAAAGGTATCTACTTTGTGACTTTTATCACTATAGTTTAGTTCTGCTGTTTTTGTCTTTCATATAATTGGATTCATACTCTTTGCATCTGGCTTTTTACATTCAATGTTGTTATCTGTGAGATTCACCCATGTTTTTGAATGAATGAATAGTTGGTTCTTTTTCAGGATTTTGCTTGTATTAGTTTTCTATTGCTGTGTCACAGATGACCACAGTTTAGTGACTTAAAACAACACCCACTTATTAGCTTATAATTCTGTAGGTCAGAAGTTTGGCACAACATACCTGGGTTCTTCGCTTAGGGTCTGATGAGGCTGAAATCAAGGTATCAGCCAGACTGAGTTCTCATCCAGAGGCTTTAGGACCTCCTGCCTGTCCTTAGAGCCACTGTGGATACCATTAAATACCAATTGTTTGCTTGGTCTGTGATTTTGAATCCCCTCCCATCACCGTTTCTCTGCCTGATAAATTCCTATTCATTATTTTTGCCTAATTCAAATGTATTTGCTCCTAAGCCGCATTCTTTCAATGCTACCTACCTAGGAATAATTTTTTTTCTCTAATCTTTGCTCCCTGGCTATTCAGTTGAGGCTTCTATTATAGCACTCATTGTTGTATTATAGCTAGTTTTGTATGTCCTGTTCTCCACCTAGAACTACCATATATTGACTGTCTACCAGGCTTTTAAATCACTACTGTCTATCTTGCTATCTAGCTATCTGTTTTTTTTTTTTTGATTAAGTACTTTAATATTCCAAATGGTACAAAAATCAGAAAAAAGTACCCAAGGCATTCAGTGAAAAATAAATTTCCCTTTCTCTCTTTTCCCACCATTAGCCAGCCCCCCTCCCCAGAGTCTACTCCTCTCTTTTTTTTTTTTTGATTAAGTACTTTAATATTCCAAATGGTACAAAAATCAGAAAAAAGTACACAAGGCATTCAGTGAAAAATAAATTTCCCTTTCTCTCTTTTCCCACCATTAGCCAGCCCCCCTCCCCAGAGTCTACTCCTCTCTATCAGTTATCTGTTGCCATAATGATGTGGTATAATAAACAGCCCCAAAACTTTAGTGGCATATAGCAATAAACATTTATTTAGCACATGAGTCTATTGGGCACAGGTGACCTGGGCTGGGCAGAGCTTATTTGTACATCTGCACTCAGCTGTGGGTTGGCCAAACAGCTCTGCAGATCTTAGGCTGGGCCCACTCACATGTCTGGTGGTTAGCTGGCTGTTAGCTGATCTACGGTGGTCTCATCTGCTCCACTGGGGTGAGTTGTCTCTGTCCTGCATGTCTCTTGTCATCTGAAGGCTAGCCTGGGTATATCCTTCTTCTGGCGTTTCAGAGGGTAAGATTAAGCAAGCCCAATCACACAAGCACCTTTAAGCCTCTGTTTAGATCACATTTGCTAATATCAAATTGGCCAAATCAAGTCACATGGTTGAGGCCAGAATCAAAATGGGAGGGCACTACAAAGTACATGGCTAGAGAGAAGATTGAGGAATTGAGGCCATTAGTATAGTCTGCCATACCTTATTTTTAGTTCTAAACATATATGTGTAAATACCCATATATATTTTTATTAACATAAATGATAGCATACTGTTCATTGTTTCCATATTTGGCTTTTTTCCTGCTACTTTATTATTTATTTCCTTTAATACATAATGTTCTATCATCAGGTGTTTCCACCTAAAGAAAATTGAATCATGATATCTTAAACCACAGTTATCCCTCCACCCCAAACCAGAGTGAGCCTTCTACGTTAATCCCAGAATGGCATCAACAGAGAAACAGGATGGACTTAAGATTGTGAAGGTGGAGGAAGACCCTATGTGGGACAGAGAAACCTGCCTCCAAGGGAGCAACTTTTCTGGCCAGGAGGCCTCCCGCCAACTTTTTAGGCAATTTTGTTACCAAGAGACTCCTGGTCCCCGAGAAGCTCTGAGCCGGCTCCGGGAACTCTGTTACCAGTGGCTGAGGCCAGAGTCTCACACCAAGGAACAGATCCTGGAGCTGCTGGTGCTGGAACAGTTCCTGATCATCCTGCCTGAGGAGCTCCAGGCCTGGGTACGGGAGCACCATCCGGCGAGTGGGGAGGAGGCGGTAGCTGTGGTTGAAGATCTGGAGCAAGATCTTAGTGAACCAGGAAGCCAGGTGAGAGGAGGAAGATGGGCTTCTAGACACTGAATACTAAATGAAGGGTGAAGTTTGGTGACACCAGTTGGTTGGCAATAGCCACATACATGTATTAGTTCTCTGTTGGTATGTAACAAATTAGTCCTAAACCTTAATGGATTTAAAAAACAAAAACAAAAACAAAAACATTATCTTACAGTTTTTGTGAGTCAGGAATTTGGGAGCTACTTAGGAATCTGTCATAAGGTTGCAGTGAAGATGTCAGCTGAGACTAGTCACCTGAGGACATGACTGAGGGTGGTGGATCCACTTCCGAGAGGGCTCACTTTCATGGTTGTTGGTAGGGCCTCAGCTGCCCACTGGCTTCTGGCAGGAGGTCTTAGTTCTTTGCCACGTTGGTCTCTCTCTAGAGATGCTTGACACATCAGCTGGCTTCCTACAGAGGAGACAGGGAGAGAAGAGAAAAGGCACGAAAGGCACAGTGCTTTTTATGACCAAGTTTATGTCATCACTTCTGCCATACCTTTTATTCAGTAGAAGTGAGCCATCAAGTACGGCCCACACTCAGGGGAGGGGAATTAGACTCCATCTTTTACAGGAAGAAGTATCAAAGAACGTGTGGACATATTTTAGGCCACCACACCGTATTGGGTTACTCTTGCCCTCCCCTTTCTGCTCTGGATGTGCAGTAACACTCAGGTCCAGCCACTGTGCCATTTCACTCCATCTTTTACAGGAAGAAGTATCAAAGAACGTGTGGACATATTTTAGGCCACCACACCATATTGGGTTACTCTTGCCCTCCCCTTTCTGCTCTGGATGTGCAGTAACACTCAGGTCCAGCCACTGTGCCATTTTTCTAGAAAATGTTTCATATGGTTTCATGTGATCTCTTTCATTGAGTACTAGCCTGGGCTTTTGTAGTCCTTTTGTTATGAAACCAAATATACCTACCTGCCCTCAGGCCCCAGATCATGAACATGGACATTCTGAAGTGCTCTCAGAAGATGTGGAACATTTGAAGTCCAAGCAGGAATCAAAAGTCATCCAGCTTCAGTCCATGGTCACACAGCTCAAATATGTATCTTTTGGCCTCCACCATTTTCGAGAACAAGGTAAGGATTTTGTTAGGCCCATTCAGAAGGTCTCTGGTGGCTCTGTAGAGGGTAATAGTTATGAATGTGTACTCTGGGGCCAAATTGCCAAATTTGGAACTTAAGTACTGCTACATGGTAGCTCTGTGACAATGAGCAGGTCAAGTAACCTCCCTTTGCCTTCAGTTTATCCATCTCTGAAATGGGAATAATCATAGCACCTCAGTCACAGAGTTGTTTGAGGATTTAATAAGTTAATTTATACAAAACGCTTAGAATGGTGCCTGCCTTGTAGTAAACATTCTATAGTGCCTGCTTGTGTACATCCTTTCTGGGACCTCACTACCTCACTTTCTCTGGGTGATCCCTTGCAGCCTTTCCAGCAGTGCTGATGACCCCTTCCTCTGCTGTCCTTAATATCCCTGTTCAACACGTCCAGTTTTGCATTCCTAGAACATGTCTGTTTGATAGAATCTTTCTTTTCCCATTGTACGATTGTACTCTTTCGTAAAGGAAAGAGATGACATTGTTTGGTCCATTTTTTATTACAGGGGGTGAAACTATACCTGAAAACCAAGAGTTGGCATCAAAGCAAGAAGTCTTAAAAGAAATGGAACATTTTGGGGATAGCAGACTCCAAAGAGATGTTCCTCTGGATTCTAAGGACAGAGAATCTTGTAAACACAAGAGCAGGGTAGAAAAGCAGTGGGGACACCTCACCGGAGAGAGACGTCACAGGTGCAATGAATGTGGGAAAAGCTTCACTCAGAGTTCAGTCCTCATTCAGCACCAGAGAATCCATACTGGGGAGAAGCCGTATGAATGTGAAGAATGTGGGAAAGCCTTCAGCCAGAGGTCAGGCCTGAATGAGCATCAGCGGGGCCACACTGGAGAGAAACCTTATCAATGTAAGGACTGTGGGAAAGCCTTCAGTGCCACCAATGGCCTCATTAGACACAGAAGAATCCACACAGGGGAGAAACCATACGAATGTGAAGTGTGTGGGAAGGCTTTCCGCCTCAGCTCGTATCTTGTTCAGCATCAGAGGATACACACTGGAGAGAAGCGCTATCAGTGTAATGAGTGTGGCAAAGCCTTCAGTCAGAATGCAGGGCTTTTCCAGCATCTCCGAATCCACACTGGTGAGAAACCCTATCAGTGCAGTCAGTGCAGTAAAAGCTTTAGCAGGCGGACACTCCTTATGAAACATCAGAGAAGCCACACTGGAGAGAGACCGTATGAGTGTGATGAGTGTGGGAAAGCCTTCAGTCATCACTGCAACCTGATTCGGCATTTTAGAATCCATACTGTTGCCAAACTGGACTAACTTCGTGGACTCCTAAAGGGGCCATCTTGGAAAGTAAGATTTTCTAGTTGCTTATTCTGTTTTTATCAAATTTATTCTGCTTTGGAATCAGTAGCTTATTTATAAACCAGGTGCTGGTGTCTTATGGGTGGATGACTGTGGGTGTGGGGGCTGCTGAGGCCTCCTTATTCCCTGTCCCTTGGTTCATTTCTAATGATTTGCCTGAAAGAGACTAAATCTTATCTGGAAATAAATTGGTATGGAGGGGCTGTTCTTGAGTAATACTGAATATTGAACAACTATGAAAGACTAATGTCTGTGTGTACTTTTTAAAGGTTGGGTAAGTTCAAAGGATGTTCAGAGCTAAATTCAGATCATCTAGAGTAGTGCTTATCAAATTTTAGAGTGCCTAAAAATCAGCTGGGATCTTGTTAAAAATGTAGATTCTAATTCAAAAAGTCAGAAGGTGGCCCAGGAATCTGCATTTTAATAAGCTCTCAGGTGACACCGATGCTGCTAGTTCATGGAGCTCACTTTGAACATCAAGTCCCCAGACAAGACTGAGTGTTGGCATGGGCCTTCTAATATGCGAAAGGTGCAGTGGGCAGGTGAGGTGAGGTGGGTTTGGGGAGCAAGGCAGTGTCCTCTGCTCTGGTACAGGCAAACTCAGCCAAATCTTTACCCAGGAAGTCTAAATAGTGCCCATAAATGTTTGCATTAGGATAAAAGCTGCTGCTACAGAGCTCCTGCTCCCCTTCCTCCTGCTCCTCACCTGAGTTCCCAGGGTGAAGGGAAAGGAGCTGTTGCATGCTTAGGAGCACACTGCAAATGCGCCAGTCCTCATCCCCAGTCCTCTCTTGGACTCTCTGAGCTGCTTAGGTCACAGGTACAAGGTCCCAGTTGAGGCATCCTTACCTATGGTGCTACTACGTGCCACATTTCATTCAACACTGAAGCCTGGCTTGGTCCCTCTGCAACTCCTACCCCAGTGTTTAGACAACCACTTTCTCTTTCACCTACTCAGAAAGGCAAAGAGAAAAAGAGAAAGCAGCCACAAAAAGAGGCCAAAGGGATAAAGGAGAAAAATTAAAGGAAGGAAGGACCTCCCTAATGGGTAAGAGAGGGGCAGGGGAGAGTCAGGGGAAGAAAAAAGGACCTTATAGGGCAAGGCTGCAGTAAAGAGAAAATTGAAAAGAGAATTTGGGAACATTTCATTTTTTTTCAGATCCTGTTTCCCCAATCTAAGTGAAAAAGTGTTGTAGTAGCTGATGCCACCACTTGCTCGCATTCAGCCTCATTGGCAGTAGCATGAAGGATTTTCAGTGCCTGCTATCAGAAGAGCACCAAGAGACCTAGAGAATGGAGGTTTCGACCGTGCATAGGGGCACTCAGTCAATCAGCAAGCACCACTCAGCACCTGCTTTGGGCCAGGAGGCACTGTTTAGGGGCTGGGACACATCAGTGAACAGAGTAGACAAAGGCCTCTGCCTGAACAGAATCTACATTCTATTGGGGGAGAAAAACGAACAATAAGCATAATGACTAAATTTTATAGTATATTAAAATGTGGAAAAAAGTGCTTTAGAAACAGAAGAAAGTGGAACAGCATAAAGGAGGAGAGAGGTTTCATTATATAGGATGGTAAAGAGAGGCCTTGTTGAAAAGGAGATCTCGAGCTAAGATTTGGAGAGGAGGGAGTCCACTGCATGCTATCTGGGAGAAGGGTGCTCCAGCCAGTGCAAAGGCCCTAAGGTATAGAATAAAAGTAGCTTTCCCACTGAGTTTCTCAAATGATCCTCACACTCACCCTAGAAGAGGGAGCATGGATATTTACCATTCACCTTTATAGTTGTGTAAACTGAGCCTGGTGAGATGGAGGGATGGCTCAGCATCACATGCCTCCGAGGTGGCAAAGGTCTGAATTCAAGACTCTCCATCTAGTGCTCTTTCCTATTAAGTACCTGGAATCTTTGTTTTCCAACCTGGTAATTATTTTTCTTTTCTTCTTCATCTAGAAAACATACATGATGCCACATAAACAGGCATTGAGTAATTATTTTGAATGAGTGGCTGTGCCCTGAAAGCATGAGGGGTGGTGGTGCAGCAGATCATCTGTGGGTACAGAAGAAGAAGAAATGGATAGAATCCTGGAAGGCCATGTGACATTAGTGGTTGGGTGTGAGAGGCTGGGGAGTGAGAGTTGGGAAGTGCAGGGATTCTGCAGGCAGCTAGAGCCTGATGGGAAGGAAGGACTGGCAAGGTGGAGGGGTGGGAGAATGGGAGACAGAGTCAAGTCTGCTGCTTAGTAGCACAGCATCGCTGCTGTTACTATCTAGCTGTGTGACTGTGGACAAGTTACCTCTCTGTGCCCTCGTGGAAAGACATGAAGTTGAGGTCGGTGAGTAAAGAGATCTGAGGAGGTAAGGCAATTCAGGGAAAGCCTGTAAATCCATTTGTGGGTCGAGTGGGGAGGGGAGGGTCTGGTTAGGAATTGGAAGGGAAGAGCCAGGCATGTATTGAACAGGAGGTCCCGGAATGTTTGGGGAGTAGGCAAGGGAAACTCTCCCATTGCCTCTTTGCCCTGGATGAGCCCAAAGCGCTGAAATATCCTCCAAGCCACCTATAGAGGCAGCGCAAGTATCTGCATGTGGTGGAGCTGAGAGTGGGTCAGTGGTGTCGCATTTGCCCAACCCATGGTCTGTGGGCAATGGGAGAGTCTTGGTCCAAGCTTGGCCCAGCCCAGGGTTAGTCCCAGGGCCAGTGAGGTGGAGCGCGGTGGCACACTGGTCTCTAGGCTAAAGCCCAGGAGTGACCGGGGCACACAGTGCAGGGGAGCCATGAACCATGGCTGGGTAAATGCCAGCATTTCAGAAATAAATATAATAATATAATAATGATGGTGACAACAATGATGATAGATAAATACTTCTGTAGTGCTTATCTTGTTCCTTTCACTATTCTAATCAATTAATATGTATTAACTCATTTGCTCCTCAAACATCATCTAAACATAATTTTCAACTCCATTTTAAACAGGGGGAAACAGGCATGAAGAGGTTAAGTCACTCCCCCAAGGTTATGCCGAGGCACCCTGTGTGTCTTGACCCCATTTCAGATAAGGCCAAAGCCTGCTGGATCATTGATTTGCCTCCTGTACCCACAGAAGCTACCAAATATTGTATTAGTGCTCTCAGTCTATACATTTCTTTCTAACTGCTACCCTACTCAGAATTGAGAAAGCAGTTCATTTAGCGTTCTATTGCTAGACATTGAGGTTGTGTCCTCTTTTTCACTATTTGAAACAAAACTGCAGTGACAGGTCTTGTACTTTCCTCCTCGAGCACAAGTGTACGTTAGCATATGTATATGTTTTAAAGTTTTTATTGCAGAGAATTTAAAACATCTATAGAAGTTGGCAGAATAGTAAAATGAACCCTAACATACCCATCCACCTTCAACAGTTAGCAACTCATGACTGGTCTTTAATGCATATCTCTATCCACTTCTTCCCTTGCCTTGTTATTTTGAAGCAAATGCCAGGTACAATATTTTACCTGTGAATATTTCAGTATGTATCTCTAACAAATAAGAACCCTTTTAAAAAACATAGCCATAATACCTTTATCACCTAAAAATTTAATACTTATTTATTTTTATCATTACACATCCAGTAAGTATTTAAATTTCCAATTCTTATAAACGTCTTCATTTTTTATTTTTTAACGTTTGTTTGAATCAGGATCCCCTATGATGTCTACAAAGAGTGCTTGGCTGATATGTCTTGTCTCTTTTAGTCTGTAGGTTTCCCTCCACCTCCCCCCACCCCTGCATTGTATTTGTTGTGGGTGGTGGTGGGGGGATGTTTATCCTGGAGTTGCTTACAGTCAGCATTTTGGTGAATGTATCTCTGTGGTGAAGTTTAGCATCCTCCTCTGTCTTCTGTATTTCCTGTAAATTGGTAGTTCACAGGAGTGAAATGACTCATCTAGAGGACTGATCAGATTTGGGTTCAACCTTTACTGGCAAAACCATTGCATTGTGGTGTGTTCTTCTAGAAGGAAAGAATATCTGGTTTCTTTTTGCGATGTTAGCAGCTGTTGATGAACAGTGTCTCCATCTATTAATTCATAATGGATGACACAATTTTGATATTTTTAATTATATCATTTCTTCATTCATTTATTAAAAGAAGAATTTATAAATTCTTAATTTTTTAAAATAAATATAAGAATTTATAATTATTATAGAAGAATACATTTATTAAAACAAAATTTTCCTTGTCATCTATTTGGTTACTAAGTGGTATAGTTCATATGGAAAAAGGCAGGGTAAATGCTTGATTGTTTCCCTTTATTTACCAGTTTTCAAAATACATAGTTCTCCAGCATTCTATGGTACAATGGCATTCTGTGGTTACAATGGTAACCAATTTTTTTTTTTTTTTCCCTTTTTGTCTTTTTTCGTGACCAGCAATGGGATCGCAACCCTCGGTGTCACGCCCGCACTGCGCTCAACCAGTGAGCGGACCGGTCTCTACATGGGATCCGAACCCTCGGCGGGAGCGCCGCTGAGCTCCCAAGCTCCGCACTCTACCGAGTGCGCCACCAGGCCGGCCCCCAATTTGTTTTTTTAAAAGAATAATTATGAACTCATGGACATAAACGTACCTGAAGTGTTTCAATCCATTGCTGTCATTATCTTTACTAGTTTTCAAATGTTTCCGTCTTCATGTGAGAAGCTCTTCAGGTTGGCTTCTGAGTCCTTCTGACACAAGATCCTCATAAGTGCTTCCTTGCTTTACTCTGTGACAAGATGTTTCAGGCTCATGTCATACATTTCTTGCCTCAGATCCAAATTCAACCATTTCTCCCAGGAGCCCGGATTTATTTTGGGGGAAATGGAATTTCAAGATGACAAATTGGGTGCTAGGGGAGGCTCCTTGCTTAGCTGATTATTATTCCTAAGCCTTTTCAGTAGAAAGAAGTAGGAGATATACATCTGTGTGTATATATGAGGGTACTTCAAAAAGTTTATGGAAAGTTTCATATTATCTTTTAATTATATTTTTCCACGAACTTTTTGAAGTAACCTAGTATAAGTGTGTGTGTGCATGTCTGTCTGTCTATCTGATTTTCCAATTCAGGACGATATGGTTTTTACTTTTCTCACATTTGCATTTCCTCTTGTAGTTATCTATTTCTGTGTAACGAGTTATCTCAAAACTGAGCAGTTTAAAACATCTGTTTTCCATGGGTTAGGAATTCAAGTGTGGCTCAGCTGGGTACTGTGCTTCAGAGTCTCTCAAGACTGAAATCAAGGTGTTGGTCAGGGCTGGCATCCCATCTGAGGGCTTAACTGAGAAGGATCTCCTTCCAAGTTCACGTGGTTGTTGGTAGAATTCAGTTCCTTGAGGGTTCTTGGACTGAGGGCTTCAGTTACTTGGTGGCTGTTCACAAGAGGCAACCTTCAGTTCCTTGTCACATGGGCCTCTTTATCATGATAGCTCGTTTCATCAAAACCCCCAAGGGAGAGCATCTGCTCGCAGGACAGAAGTCACAGTTTTTTGTAACCTAATCATAGCAGTGACATCCACTCAACATTGCTGTATTCTATTGGTTAGAAGCAAGTTATTTAAAGGGAGGGGATAATACAAGGCCTTGAATACTGGGAAGTGAGATCACTGGGGGGCATCTTAGAGGCTGCCTCCCACACTATTCTCCTGTGTCAACAATCCCAGTTCTCAAAGACAGTGGGAAATGACAGAATTAGAATATCATATGTGCATTTAACATTTGAATACTACTAAAGTACCTCCAAATTGTCTGTGCCAGTTTACATTCCCAACAGCACAGCATGGTTGTTATCCCATATCATTGCCCATATTTATATTTTCAAACATTTAAATATTTGCCAAGCTGTTAGGTGTATAATGGTATCTTGTTTTTATTTTTAACCCCTGAATACTAATGAAATTATGCATCTTTTAAGGGGTTTATTGGCCATTCACATTACCTTCTCTGTAAATCTCTTATTCATATCCTTTGCCCAGTTTTCTTTTGGGCTTTTTAACTTTTCTGTATCTGTGGGTAGAAATTCTTTATATTTTAGATACTAATCCCCTATTATATATGTTTCATTTTTTTAAAAAGTTGGTCACTATTTTCTTCTCTAATCTTTTTTTTTGTGTGTGTGACCGGTAAGGGGATCGCAACCCTTGGCTTGGTGTCATGCGCACCGCGCTCAGCCAGCGAGTGCACTGGTCATCCCTATATAGGATCTGAGCCCACGGCGGGAGCGCCGCTGTGTTCCCAGCGCCGCATTCTACCGAGTGAGCCACAGGGTCGGCCCCTTCTCTAATCTTTTCTCAGATCCACCTCTGCTTTATATATCCAGTACCTTATATTCTCTTTTTCCTGGCTATAATCTTTCACTTACTCCCAGTCCTCTGGCCCTAGAAGAAAAACAGAGCTGCTTTAGCCCTCATGCCTGGGTTGACAAATCCTACTTGCATATACTTACCTCCCCAACAATCTGTACCTCAAAGCCCAAATTATCATAAATGACTCAGTTCTACCTGCTTTTCCATTGACCTTTACCCCAGGTGAGACTATTATACACCATTTTACTTCCCTTTCAACCAACTGGATCCCCTCCTCAACTCTTGGGCTTCCTTAAGCCCAGGATGTGGACAAAAACATCATCAACAAACCATGTCCATATTGTTTTAATTCCTTTTTGTCCCTGTCATAGACTCAACAACATTTATGTGCTCGAGGCAATTTGTGGTTTTCTTGTTTCAGTGCAGTGACTTGTATCTGTGCTGAAGGGAATGATTTAATGTACCTCATGTAAGCATGGATATCCAGATAACATTTGGCAGCCAATATGACAGCTTGGAATGGTTCCTGAATTTTGAAATTGAGATTTTATACATACTTGTTAGTGTTCAGGAATCAAAAAGTCAATCTTATTTGTTAACTCCACAGCCTTAGACAAAAAACAAAAGTAAGGGGTCTGTCAGGATCTGGAGTGGCTCCCCATGATTTGGTGTTCAGCTTCAGCAGAATATTTTCTGTCCTCTCTTAACACAAATTCCCTGCTGCCTGCTTCTGGTTCACATTAGTCATTAGAGTAGAAGAACGCACAAGTGTATACACTGGGTCACGTCCCGGGTCCTTCCAGGCTGAAGATTTATTTTTGACAGGAATCAGAGCTGTCCTCTTTCTCCCTATCTCAGAAATGACTACAATTCCCTTAGTGGCGCTATACAGCATGTTCATCCGTTAACTTATTGAATGCTTTTACAACTTTCTGAGTTTGTAGGACTAGTAGCTGTCCGTACAGTCTGTCCTCCTGTGGTCTCCTCTTCCTCTCCTTGGCTGCTGTGGTTGAGGGTTTCTGGATGTCCTCCAATCCATCTGGTCAACCTGCCCCATTCTTTCCTCCCTGGCAATCTTCCCTCATCATGCTCAATAGGCTATCTTCTTCATCCTTTTTTATCTGCCACAACTATTGGTCGCTACTGCTTGGTACCTCTCCTGACACATCAGACCACCGCTCACATCCCTGTTCACAGCCCAGGTCCTACTCTACAGCATTCTTTATTTTCTCTTTAAATGCCAAATTCTATTCAATGTGTCCCTTTCCCACATCTACCAAGTACCAAGGCCATGCCAGTATCCTCTTCTCATCTTCATGATAGTTGCTCTTCAACTCTTCGAATAGTTCTATGCTTCCTGTGTGAACAATTACCAAACCTACTTGCCAGGACCCGCCCTCTGTCCTGCAGATCTCCCTCTGGGTACAGCAGTGATCCCTTGTAGGCATTTACCAGCACTCAAACCTACCACACTTTTCACTTGATTCATCCTGTTCCTCCCCCAGGATGGGGAAGGGTTGACAAATGTCTTTTGTATTTCAGATAAAGAATCCAAGATTAAAAATATGGAGACGAACAGCAAGAAAAAGGAGCTGTCCTTCGAGCAGGAAACACCTGAAGACGCGTAACCCCCTAAAACAATCCTATGCAGACCTCGAAAAAAGCGTTTTTCAGAGCCTCAAATGCAACAGAAGCAGTGAGTGGGCAAAGCTACAATGGAAAAAAGAGGTTCAAGTGTGGCGAGCGTAGGAAGGGTTCTAGCTAGTTCTGGGACCTCCGAATCCACCTGAGGATCTGCACCGGGGGAAAAGCCGTACGAGTGCGCCGAGTGGAGGAAGGCGCTCCGACCCGACCGAGCTCCCGCAGCGGCCGGAGGGCGGCGCCGCTCCCGCTGTGAGCGCTTGGACAGCGCCTTCCGCCGCGGTTCGCGCACACGCATGCGCGGCCGGCGGCCAGGACTCCCGCCGGAGCGCGTCCTTCCCCCTTGTGTCCGCACTGAGAGCAGGCCGCCCGCGTGCGAGGACTGCAGCAAGCACTTCATCAAGAGCTGCAAACTCGTCCAGCACCGGCGCGTACAGACACAGGCCTTAAGAGTGCGGCGAAACGTTGAACTGGGGTTCCGACCGCGTCCAACGCCAGAGGGTCCGCGTGGGGGAGAGGCCCTGTCAGTGTGAGGGGTGCGGCAATGCCTTCGGTCAGAGCCCAGCACTTCCTAAGCATAAGAAAACCCATCCAAAGAGTCAAGGGAAAAAACCTCATTGGTAGTGTGATGGAAAGCGTTCAGGCAGAGCATGAATAAGTGTAGATGAATCATGGATGAGAGTGAAAGAAGTGAGCGCTTAATTCTCATACCAGGAGGGCATCCTACTACACTGAGAACAAATTACGTCTTCTATCAGAACCTGCATTTTACTGCTAGCAGTAGTCAAAACCGGTACTAAACCGGCTGTGCGTCATACAGGTGTTTAATATCACATGATAAATAAAACAGACCTTGAGGCTGCACTGACACTGACTCAGGCCTTACTTTGGAATACAAATTCTACTTATACACACGGCATAGCCAGAGATTTAGTTAACCTGGGTACTTTGGTAAATATATCCTGGAGGGAAATAATATCACATGATAAATAAAACAGACCTTGAGGCTGCACTGACACTGACTCAGGCCTTACTTTGGAATACAAATTCTACTTATACACACGGCATAGCCAGAGATTTAGTTAACCTGGGTACTTTGGTAAATATATCCTGGAGGGAAACTTTAGCAGATAGTTGAATTTGACACTGTCTTCTTTCTGAACTCTGACTTCCAACATCAAAAACTGTAGGCAAGAAGTTCCATATTCACTTGGGATTTGCCCTGAATGCAGGGGAGTGAAACCACAGTAAAGAAAGAACTTTACAGTATAAAATGAGGACAAGGTTCAGTCTGAGCTTGGGTCTTATTTCAAAATATTTAGGCACAAGGGCAAACCAGACTGATGTTAATTTTGTATCCAGTTATTGATAATCATAATTCCTAATTAGATCCCTTAATGTGAGGAACACAAACACTTGATCAAAATATGTGTGTCTTGACTTGCAAAATCTATGGTAACTCAGAACAGTTCCTTGGAGCCAGCCAGATTACTAAAGGGTGTTGGGGCCTCTTCTAATGTATAAATTTACCTAATAAAGTTTTCTTTTTTCTTTTGAGAGTGCTTCTTCTGAATACCTAATAAAGTTTTAAAACATTTTTAAAAATTCTTTTAATTTTAACATACATATTTGTGGGGTACAGCATATTCTTGCAATACATGCATATATGAATACTTAGTGAAGTTTTAAAGTCATCACTTGTCTTCATCATTTCTCACTGCAAATTATTCCGTATTTTTTCCACCGAGGTTACGATCATATTCCACTGTTCTAAAGTACACTTTAAAGATAAAGCTATGTATTTGGATAGCTAAATTTTCCCATCAAGTTGCAATGTATTCTAAGAATCCCATGTAGTATAGCAAATCATTTCAGGTCCAGTTTTAGTTGCAAAAAGTTATTGCAAAAGAGATTCTCTGGAATTCTATTGTCTAGTAAGGAACATACCCTGAGCAAAAATAACTACTGTGTAGAACAGCAGTATTTGAGGAGCACCATAAACGTGGTGTGCACAGAAATACCATAGGTGTTCAGTACAATGGCAGGGCAGGGTAGACAAAGTGATCATTCTTTTGGCATAGATCTACAGGAACCCTAGGAATGTCCTTTGCTAAGCTATAGCCCTTTGCAATTACAAAGGTGTTGACCATTCCTGCAATGTGACTTTTTGGGGTTTTATATAGAAAAGTACGAAAACAACAACACAACAAAAGACAAACTAGAAACAAAAAACATAAAACAAGTTGATTCTCAATATTGGCGCCAAGGGCTGCACCACCTCCTACCTATGTGAATTTGAAAATGCTACTTAACCACTACGCCTGTTTTCTCATCTACAGAACGAGTATAAAAAAAAATGAGGAAAACTTAATGACTTAATCTAGTATTTCTTCTTGTGTTATCTATCACTGATGACCTTAATCCTAGACACTCACTTATCTCCTTAGGTGATTTCAACATGGGCTTCATGTCCTCTTAACTCTACTGTTATCCTGTACTTTACTGTCAACAATAGAGTCACTGTTACTACTGTTACTCTGATTTGCTTCATGTTTTCTCCATTTTCTTTACTCTTTTGACTTTTGCTGCCAACTCACACAGTCAGAATAGGACACCTTTCATTTCAATATTCAAAAGCAGTGCTTGCTTCGTCTCTGGTTTTCCCTTTACAGTACCTTCCTTCTTCAATATCCCTGCCTGGCCTTTCTTACCTATACACAATCTGACCCACCAGTTTGACACCAATGCTGAGGTTTTTAGCCTATTACCACCCAGGTTTTGTTTAAATCAGTCTTACTTCATAGGCTCTGTCTTGAATTTGGACTATGGATTCAGTGCCATTCTATAGTTGCTGTGACATTGCCTGCATTTTTAAATGGCATTCTCTAGAAAAAAAATTTTTTTAAAAAGAAGCAGGATTTCATTCTTTAAATGCACAAAATAATCAACAAATAAATGATTTCCCATGTCTGACATAAAATTAGACATAGAGAAAGGTACCACTGGAGTTCAACATTTTCACAGATAATTTTTAAACATTACTAGTTATAATATTCTTTGCAACTCTATATAAATGTCTGATTTTTAAAATATTACTTAATAACTTAATTTCATTACATATATCAAATTTGCTTTGGGAGGGTACAACCTACATTTAGTTATAATTTTCTGTCTTGTGAATGTCTACACTGTGTCTGTTTTCTCTGCCTTAATCTGACAGATTAGCATTATGTTCCAAGTAGAAATGAGCCACACATTTCCGAAAATCTAAGAGGTCTAGAGAGGCACCCGGGTTACAGGCTCTATGCAGTTGCCACGCATTGTTCATGGCTACATCGATCATGTAGCTCACCAGACTTGAGTACCATTTCTTGCTTCTTATCCTCACCTTGTACTTGGCAATAATTTGATCCATTTTAGCTACACCTTTCCTGCATTCATCATACAATTTCACTATGGATGGTTGACTTATCTGAGAGATCTCTTCATCAGCAGCAAAACAATTTATCTTATTGACTGGTTCTATGCCTACAGCGTTGGAACACAGACTGATAATGCCATCACCATGCCAACAACACAAAATTATCTCATCATTTTCTTCCACTCGGAAATCAAAATACCCCCTCTTCATTTTTTCCATATGTTCTGCATTCATAAGTGGACATTTTTCAGTCCTGTTCTCACAAATTGTTCCTGTTGCCCTCACCCCCTTCTTCTTCAAAGCTGACATCAATTTGACACTTGTAAAGAAACTATCAAAACACAGGTGATAGGGATACTGACCTCTCTCTAAAAGAACATCAGCAAAGTTCATCACTAGATTTCCACCTAACCCAAGGTCAAGATCCTTATCTGCCTTTATAGTTGCTTCTTCTTGATAGGGCTCAAACCAAACCAGATAACCCCGTGTGGTTGTACCACACCAAATTTTATAGCCAATTCTAATAGGCTTTCCATTCAGGAATTGGTCACTATCAAAACATTCACACATTGACTTATCAAAGCAATAGTATTCTTCTAGGGGAGCATACAAGAGGAAATTTTTATTCATTTGCTTTATGAGAGGCCTCAATTTTGTAAACTTATCTTTTTGATCTAGGTGGCTATTATCTGCAAAATGTAGGTATGAGAAAATCAATTCAAATCTGTCCCTTCTAATTGCATTTCTAACCAGGTTCTGATCGGCATCAGAGGTTTCCCAATACATTCCCCTTCTGGGATGCCTTACAAATCCACTCAAAAGCAGGATACCAAATATACACCTCATTTCCTGAACTGTGACTTCCAAGCTGACATTTTTCTGAGAAGCATAATTATTGGTTTCATTGACAATCAAGTTGAATGTTTCATCATCAAAAAACAATTCAAAGAGCTCTACCGGGTTCAACTTTTCACTCTTGAGGTTCAAAAGTCCAGAATCCAGTACTGACCAGCTAGGAAAGTCAGGTTTAATGTCTCTTTTGGTCCATTTCTTCCCAGGTACACTTGATACCTTTAGCTTCTTCTGAGCAGGCTGGCTCTCAGGCTCATTGTCTTCTTCCGTATCCGAATCACCAGAAAATGCAAGGCCTTGGAGCAGTTCAGTCACCCGAGCTTTGTCTTTTTTTCTCCCTTTTCGGGTAATGTCGCCTGCAGCATATTCTAAGGATGAGATGTGCATCCGGGCCCACAAGTCACCTGGGTGACGGTCCTTCAGAGTGTTCAAATGCACAACTGTCCTTTCAGTAGAGACAGGAGTACTACAAGGGATCTGGGGTATACTGTCTCTGGAAAGAAAAGAGAACACACGCTATAAAAATCCTCCATCATATTCTCTCATACACAGCAAATACACTGAAGCCTAAATCTTATGGGTGGGGATTATGTATTTCTCACTCCATGTGTCCACGGGGAGGATTTCGGCTAGACTTAACACTTCTGGCCTTTCCCCACCTCTCACTCACACTTCACAACATAACTGATGGTTGCATCTGGGAGGAGAAACTGGGCCTCCGTAGCACAGCCCCTCCGTCTGCCGTCTTCAGGGGCAGGCTGCAGACATCCACGCTCCTGTGCAGGAGGACAGCCGCTGAGATCCTCCTCTGCCCGCATGGCCCACTTGGCTCTGCCTCGGAGCCGCTTTATCCAGTCTAGCTTCTGCCAGTAATGAAGGTGAGGTTTCCAGAACCATCTGTTTTACTCCTGTGTCCCTGTCAATTGGTTCTGATCTTGGACAAGAAAGGAGGTCATTATTCACTGAGCCTCCTCACCCCTCTCACAGAATTTCTGAACATGGAAGGACTTAGCCTTTCCCAGTTCTACATTCATCTGGTGGACATACTGTTTTGAGGAAAAACACCAAAAGAAACCCAAACTCATTGCACTTCAACTGTTTTTATGAGGTTTTCAAGGAAGTAAGCTAAAGTTACAAAGAAGAAAAGTATTATTTTATACAAACTTCTTTTTAAATTTTAGATATTTGCATTTTATTTACTAGTGTCCTATCGGTAAACTAGTCTAGTTTTAGAAGACATAGGTTAAAAAAGCAGTTAAAAGAGTGAATCTTCATATAATACACTACATATATTTATTTACATAAAGCATTTATCATCCCGTGTCTTCAGAGTCTACATGTATGACCCATTCAATGCATCCATTTAGGGACAGGGGGAGGGAGAAGAGGACTAGTGAGAAATTGGTTAACAGACACAAAAAAATCATACGTTTTGTAACGAGGAATACGCTAATTATCCTGATTTGATCATCACATATTGTGCACGATATATTGACAGTTAACTCTGTACCTCAAAAATACGTATCATCAATTGTGTTTCAATTTAAAAAAACCACAAAAACCACATATCCATCTTAGAGTTCCCTGACATTCTCAACTTCAGGGACACTCCTTGAATCCTGTCATGACACTGAGCTTTCCCACTGCTGAAATCTAAGTTCCCAGAGCTACAGTGCATCCACCCCAATACGGTGCGGAAGGAGATAGGAGTGGGAAGTGGGAAAAAGAGTGCGGTAAGGAAGTGGAAAAAAGAGTGCGGTAAGGAAGTGGGGCTAGAGATGGAGGGTCTGGATCTTTGGCATCGCGGTTAAGCTGGTGCACCAATCCTGGAACAGCCTGCCTTCAGAATATTTGTTATGAGAAACAATAAGATGTCTTTATTCTTATAGGCACCGTGAGTCATGGTTTCAGTCACCTGAGGTTGAATGCATCCAGCAGGCACAACTGCAGACTCCTTCCTATTCCCCAGGTACAACTCCGAGCGAAGTTACAGAACGTTATTACTCTTCCTTTAGTGGAGCGTGGCTCAGGTCTCACTAGCTTCAGGAAAAACGTCATTTCTCTTCTTAGGCTTCAAGACATTTCTATTTTAACTGAGATTTCGCTCGATTTTTCTAAGATGAACAAGTGTCAATAAGGAGAATCCTCAACTCCTGCCTGGCTCCTAAATATCCTACTTGTTTCCTTTTTCTTCTTTTCTCAATTCTCTGAGGAGTTAATGGTCTCACCAGAAGCCAACCCCCTGCTTGTCCCTCCCTTTCTTTCTTTCTTTCTTTTTTTTTTTTTTAAAGATGACCGGTCAGGGGATCTTAACCCTTGACTTGTTATCAGCACCACACTCTCCCAAGTGAGCCACGGGCCGGCCCCTTGTCCCTCCCTTTCTGCTTTCTGTATCTATGTTACACATTAATTCTTTCTGTATCTATGTTACACATTAATTCATTCCCACAACCAACATGTATGAAACAACTGCTACTATCAGTAATTTCTCCTTCCTTATCAGTTACTTTCCTTCTGATCTATTCCTTGGTCCCATCTCTTAATGGAGGCTGAGGATACCGTACTTATCTTTCCTAAGTCCTCGTCCAGCTATGATGATATTTCTTTCTTAACCATCATGGCAGCCTCATCTGCAGCCCTCACTCTCATCTAAATTCTCTGCCTTCTGTCTTCTCTATCTACAGCTCCATAGAAACATAGTGGAGCCCAGGGAAGAGTGATCAAGCAGGGTAAACTGGGTCGGGATTCATGGAAGCAACTGTGTGCCAGATGAAGGTTCTGTATAATTACTGAATATTGACAAGTCACCTTGTTGGCACAGGGCCTCCTATGATCCCAGAAGTGAGAGTGGCACTTGTCCTGTATTATTCCAGGAAAGCAACTTTTGACCAACTGATTTCTCTGGTTCCACTCTAATTTCTTCTTGTATCTGCAGGATTTGACCCACTCAGGACCATGGACACTCACCTGTTGGGTATTCCTGAGGCCTCCCCACCTTGTTCCATTTCTTCAGAAGTTTCTTGCTTTGTATTAAACAATTCATCTTCAGTTACACATTCTTCAGCTAAAATAATACATTAATAATTTAAATGTCATCTGTTCTATGAATTTAGAGAAAACAACCTCCAGGGTAGGGAATTGATGCTCCAAATTAAAACAAACAAAAAATCAACAGGTATCTTGGGTGCAGATTGAGCAGTCCTATAAAATGAGGCAAAGTATGGGAAGATAAGAAGGAAGGTCAACTAGGGCACCAGAGCTCAGCTGCAGAGAGGGCCCAACAGGGCAGAGCACATTTACAGAAGATTCAACACGGACAGTAGTGTTCTCAGAGAGTGAAGACAATATCCTCTGAGGTAAAGAAGATCAGGCAAAGGCATTCATGGGGCTTCCAAGTATGAAGGGATACCTGAAATGACAAGTCATATGAAATCGTTGATAGGGAAGAAAAAGGGGAGCAAAGGAGGAGTTGCTGAGGGAATCAGGGAATAGGGAGGGATGATCAGAGAAGATAACAGTAAGAATCAATGAGCTGGGTGATTAGCAACAGAGGATAACGTGACTGGGAAGGATGCAAAATAACAACGGCTGAGAGGAATCTGGAGTGAGAGGCCAGAAGGAGAAGAGAGGGAGAGGGTCTGTAGGGAACATGAGTTCCCAAGTCAAAAGTCAGGGTCAGTGATGGGAAAAGGAGCGCACAGACAGGGGGCCAACCGGAGGCCTGTCCTTACTCATCAGACTGAGGCCTGTAACCTTCTCCTGAGCTGAGTTCTCGCAGGGGTTCCTCTGAGCCAGACTCAGATGTGGCCACTCCTCTGGGGCAAGGCCCTGGGATGCTTCTTCCTCAGTCTTCACTGATGTCTAAAAAAAGGCAAAAAAAAAATGGTCTCTTAGATTTCCCTGGGGTAAGGATAAGAGGTCCAGTTGTGAATGGTGTTGAATACCACAGCACAGACCAGTGGTACCAACCCCTCAGGGCATTCTGTAAATTTGTGGGAACCTTTTTGGTTATAACAGTGATGCCCAGCCCCACCTCATGCCAGTGCCATTCAGAGGATGAAGCCAGAGATGCCAGACATACTGTAATGCATGGGACAGTCCCACACTACAAAGAATTGTCCCACATTCTGCAGACATTCACGTGTCCTGCTGAGCCAACCTATAAGTAATATAAATCAGCTGCACTTAAGTATAAGAATCCTGAAGAGTTTTTACAGAATGATACTGAAAAAAACAATAATTTAAGAACATTACAGTAGGAAACTGACCTGGAATAAAGACATTGTCATAAAAGCTGACTCACTTGGACTATTCTACTCACTGTTCCATAGCATTTTCTACTATGCATTTGGCTGAAGAGCATTTCAATACAATATTGCAGTTACTGCAAATGCACTCAAACTGATTACAAATACATAATGGAGGAGTTTTTTTTTTTTGTCTTTTTTTTTTTTTCCGTGTCCGGCAACGGATTGCAGGCATTCTGTAAATTTGTGGGAACCTTTTTGGTTATAACAGTGATGCCCAGCCCCACCTCATGCCAGTGCCATTCAGAGGATGAAGCCAGAGATGCCAGACATACTGTAATGCATGGGACAGTCCCACACTACAAAGAATTGTCCCACATTCTGCAGACATTCACGTGTCCTGCTGAGCCAACCTATAAGTAATATAAATCAGCTGCACTTAAGTATAAGAATCCTGAAGAGTTTTTACAGAATGATACTGAAAAAAACAATAATTTAAGAACATTACAGTAGGAAACTGACCTGGAATAAAGACATTGTCATAAAAGCTGACTCACTTGGACTATTCTACTCACTGTTCCATAGCATTTTCTACTATGCATTTGGCTGAAGAGCATTTCAATACAATATTGCAGTTACTGCAAATGCACTCAAACTGATTACAAATACATAATGGAGGAGTTTTTTTTTTTTGTCTTTTTTTTTTTTTCCGTGTTCGGCAACGGATCGCAACCCTCAGTGTTGCCCCCGTACCGGACCGGGGACCAGCAACGGGATCGCAACCCTCGGTGTTGCTCCCACGCCTCGCTCAGCCAGTGAGCGGGAACCGGTCTGTATGTGGGATCCGAACCCTCGGGCGGGAGCGCCGCCGCGCTTCCCAAGCGGCCCACTATCCAGTGCGCCACCGGGCTGGCCCCCATAATGGAGGAGTTTTGAGACTCCTTTAAACTTGGAATGGAATGTAAATGCAGAGATCTCACTGAATTTTAATAATAAATATTGTTTAAAAATATTTCAAAGCTAGCAATGATAAGATATCCAGGTTGGAAAAATTATACACTGAAATTATTTATTTTGGGGGTTGCCTGTGGTTTTATATTTTTGTCTGACACCATCCCCAAAGGGGTACCACATGACTTTCTCTATTAACCTCTTGATTTTCTCTTTCATTTTCTTTTTCCCACTGCCTGAAAAAGGATACGGTACCATTTTTACTGACTGAATGTTTATTTTGACAAGGAGGGGGGTTTCAAAACAGAAGATATAATTTCTCTTTACCTCATCACTCCCCTATCCCAAACTGCAGAGAATTATTTTGAGCCTAAAAAGCCCATCTCATTTAAATATCATACCTCCTTATTTTCTCCCCTTTATCAATGTACCGTAATTTGCCTTGAAATCTATATTGGTTTCCTAGGACTCTTGTAATAAAGTATCACAAACTCAATGGCTTAAAACCACAGGATTCCACTCTCTCATGGTTCTGGAGGCTAGAAATCCAAAGTCAAGGTATCAGCAGGTCGGGCTCCCTCTGGAAGCACTAGGTGGGGATTTTCCCTGCTTCTCTCCCAGATTCTGGTGGTTGTCAGCAATCCTTGGTGTTCCTTGGCTTGCAGACACATCACACAAATCTCTGCCTCCGTCATCACATGGCATTCTCCCTGTGTGTCTCTTGGTCTTCACAAAGCCATCTTACAGGGACAACAGTTTTTAGATTTAGGGCCCATCCTGATCCAGCATGACCTCATCTTTACTTGATTACATCTACAAAGAACCTATTTCCAAATCAGTTCACAATCACAGGTACCTGGGGTTAGGACTTCAGCATGTCTTTTGGGGGGATGTAATTCAATCTACAGCGTCTTAGCCCTACTTCAGTTAAGGTTATTTCCTTCTTCTCTGTCTGGTCTTTCTTCATTTGACTCAACACTAGTTTTCATTCTACTGTCCACCTACACCTCTTCCATTTGATGTTCCTGGACTTCTGACCCTCTTATTCCTCCTTGATTCAAACACTGATTATACATCAGTGCAAACATCTACTTTGTTATTGCTTCAGGTATAATCATGTCCATACATTTGCATTTTAAATACATACTATTTTTTTTAAAATAAATTACTTTTTCTTTGTTTCTACATTGTATTACATTTAAGGTAACTATGTTAATTTTTTGTAAAATTTATTTTATTTATTGAATCAAAAACAACTATACATATTTTTTGGGTTGAACATTGAGATATGTTGATCAAATCAATATTACTAGCATATATATTGTTACAAGTCATAATTATTCTTTATGCCCCTTGTCCAATCTCACACCATCCCCCACTTCCTCCCCTCTCCCCCCTAATTACCCTAGATTTCTTCTCTCCTTCTGAAAGAATAATGGTTACTCTGTTAATTTGTTGCCTAGATGATCTGTCCAATACTGAGAGGTGTGATCAGGTTCCCAACATTATCATAGACCAGATGCTTCCTCTGTCACTCTGAAATGGGCTTTGTGGAGAGAGACATCCTCTTCTTTATCTCTGCTGGTGA